ACCGCTGCGAGTTCGGTGAGGGTCGGATTCGATTTTAGCGGTTCGGTTATGCAACTCTAGCCTTAGCTTAATGTCTTAATTCCTTAGTTGATTATTACTAGCTATAGGGTGATTTTAAGGTTGTATTTATAGATGATTCCTTCTAGCATAGGCCATTTAAATATTGAATGATCTCATAGCCGGGTGATCTCATAGATTAGATCACCATTCGCTAATGGTTGAAATCGGTGATTATCGATGATAATCCATGGCCGCCAGAACCATGGATATGATCGATGATCAACCATAGCGGATCCATCCAGAAGTCATGTCCAATATGGACATTAGTTATAGTAGTAAGAATTATAGCTCTTACCAACAAAGCTCATCACCAAAATTTTCACAGCATTAATTAAACTAGGGCACCACCCGAAATGATAGCAGAGAGTAAAGATTATGGTGTTATAGAAACCTAGGAAGCTAGACTACTTAATCCCTAGGGCCTATTACCTAATCTCACTCCTTAACACACTCAGTAAACTTCTTAAGGCAGTGATAGCTTAATAGCTATCATACCTCACTAAGAAGCATAGCTTACTACCTAACATATAATTTAGAGGGTAACTAGGCTAGACTATAGAATAAGCCCTGCTAGTCCTTTCTAGCGCAATTAACTAAGCTTAGTATAAATATACAGTAATAACACTCATTATATTCAATCTAAAAGGGGCCTTTAACAGAGTTAATAAAATTAGCCTTAATACCTACCTCTAAGTAAAGGGAATCCTAGCCATCACTAGAAAGTAGATTATAAGCTTTATGAGCAACTAATTCATTAATATAGGATTTGATAACTTCTATACTAAGGTCACCCTACTAGTTAATACAGGACTAGTGCAGGGCTCACCCCTCTTACCCATTCTGTTTATATTCTTCAACTCCAACCTGGTCAACCAACTGGTTACATTTTATAGTGGCGCATTAGCCTTCATTAATAACTACTTCCACTGGTGAGTAGGCCGCTCAGCTGAAGAGAACTTAGCTAAAATCTAGTTAGAGGATATCCCTTACATTAAAGCTTAGGCATAATAGACTAGCTCCTGCTTCACAGCTGAGAAGACCAAGCTTATCTATATTACTAGGAGAAGAAGTAAGTAACTATAAGGGTAAATAGTTATAAATAAGAAAACTATTAAACCATCACCCACAGTAAAGCTACTGGGTGTGATCTTCAACCATAAGTTAAGATAGAAAGAGCACGTCTAGCAGGCCATTAAATATACTACCAAGCTGGCCATTACTCTGGCTAGACTACAATATCTACACCTAGAACAGATGCAATAAATATACTAAGCATGCGTCACACCAGTAGTAGACTATATATTAATAGTCTGGCATGACCCTTTATATAATAAAACCCACCTATACTATCTAAATATAGTACAAAGGGCCCCTCTGATCTGTATCCTGTTGGCATTTAGGACAGTAGCATCCACTACTCCAGAAGTAGAAGTATATATCCTTCCAACACACCTCTGCCTCTGCTACTAAGCATAATATACTATTATAAGACTCCACACTCTACCTTATAATCACCCTATCTGGAGTGCGCTCCTCCGAGCTCAGAGATAAAGGAATAATATTAGAAACTATACTTAGTTCCTACTAGTAGAAGCTCTAAAGACTATAGACCTATAAAGATTAGATGAACTAGAAATAATTAACCTAAGTCCCTTATCACTATAGTAAGTTGAACCCTTCACAGAGATTAAGGTTGGGTCAGACTAAGAGATGGCCATAGAGCGCGCTAAAACCATATAGTCTATATCAGACATTATCATCTACTTAGATGCCTCAGGACGCGAGGGTCACCTAGGCACTACCATTATGGCACTTAACAGTAACTTAGAGACTGTTGAATCTTAGTAAATTTAAGTAGGACTAATGGACCACTGATTAGTTTATATAGTAGAGCTTATTAGTATATTCTATGCTATTAGCATGGTGTTTAAAGTTGCCTATCAGCTCTCAAGAAGCTTAGAAAGGGGATAGAAAATAGTAATAATACTATGTAATAGCTAATTAGCCTTGCAGGCAACTCAAAACCCAAGGAATAAATCTAGACAGTGTATCATCCATATAATCCTCTAAGCTGCCATAGAAGTCTAAACAGTGGGAATCTCACTGCGCCTTCAATGGGTGCTAGGGCACTGTGATAACCCTGGAAACAACACTGTGGATCAACTAGCTAAGGATACTACATGCCTAGGCAAAACACACCCCTTCTGCCCACTACTTTTAATGGAGAACGCGCGCCTCCGCAGTAATATCCTTAATCAGTGGGAATAAGAATGGAGATCATCCAGTAAAGATAGTTACCTATAAAAGATTAATAGCACCCTGCCAGCAACCTATATGAGGAGGCTATATAGGAGCCTACCCAGGAACTAAGTGTACCTGTTAACACAGCTATGCATAGGCCATAATTAGTTATCTACCTATGCTAAAGCCTTTCGCTTCCGCGACGACGACCTGTGCGTGTGGGGCGCACAAGAGACTGTCACCTATATGCTAGTAGACTGCCTCGATCTGAGGGACATTTGAAGAGAGTTATGGAGGGAAGTAGGGGATATATTCAGTAGTATCTTAAGTCTGCTAGGAGGCTCAACTAAAGGTAAGAAAGGTAAACCAGATACTATCTTAAGAGTAAGGATGGTTAAGGCTGTTTTGGACTTCACTGAGGCATCACAGCGGTTTTAGAGTCGCGCGCCACGAGGGCAGCCTAATAATGGGAATAGCAGTTAGGCCATGGCAGGCCTTAACAAGGCTCTAAGTTTGTTTTGAGGAAGTGGTACACTCTACATATACATACACAGATATATATAGTTGTGGTAGGCTGCATATCGCTTTCATGGCGAGGGGTCAGCGTAAATGACACCAACCAACCAACCAACCGACTGTAGGAGATGAGGTTAAGTTACATGACAGTGTTGATTAGTACATTGATTAGTACGGGGTCACGTGATTGAGCTGGTGTCCGCTTTGGACATGACTTCGTTGGTGCCTGAGGCCGACCGCGAGTGCTTAGGAAGCTCGAGCATTCAGTGGGCCTTGCCCACTACAAATGTGATATTAACTGCCTGCGACTCCCAGTGGCTCTATTTTGAGTCGTGATTATCCTGTTAGATGAAAAGTATGTATTCGCTATGGCCGACCCTCTTAGGGCTTACATACAATCTGGAGGCCAAACAACAAGTAAACTAGACTGAAAAAGGAAGTGAAGCAATCTCCCATGTTCCTCCACTATAATAGAAAACTGCTTTGTGATTTGTACTTTCCGGAATTTCCTCAATGGGCTCCTATTTTGTCAGCATCATCTACTGCTCCTTTCTTGTTCCATGGGAGCGCCATGTTTCTCTCAATGTCCTCGACTCTCTTCCAGCACCCAGAATGTGTGACTATTCCATGAATCACGTATCATGCTATTCCTCTGACAGGAGAGCTTCCGCAGTCTGCAAACCTGCAGTAGTCACATTGCTCATAGCCATGGTGCCAATCGCTACATGCCGAGTTGTTTCGTCGTAGTCATTCACAGCCGACATATACGTGATTCGAGACACATAGGAAGTGATGTTAGATACTTCACCTATAATGGCAGCTGACCGTTTAGCGCCCGCTGGCTCCTGGCTCAGCTCAAAAAAGTGTAAGCCAGTAACGCAGAACGCCGGAATGACGAGGAGGCTATTGACGACCGCGCCTGTCGCGCGTCCATCATTGACTGCCAACCATGGAACCCTCCCAGCTAACCGTTTCTGAACAGGGCCGCAAAAAAGGATCTTCGAGGTAATGGTCGCAACTACAGTGATCTTGCTGATGATGGCGACTGCTGTGTTTTTCACGGGGTATTTGGGCGCTAGCAAATCAGTGCCACCCTGGATGGAGCCCGCAATGATGCCGGCAATAGCAGATAGGATGGAGAAAGGGTTATCCCCTGTGAGAGCCTCTGCCTCGAAAATGTTGAGGAAGTTGCCATTGAACACTGTAAAACCTGATGTGGCGTGCCCAGCCTGGAAGACGACAGCCCGCATAGAATGAGAAAGAATACTGGACGTGCTCGCGGCTTTGTTGGACTCCAAAAAAGAAGATGGCGATGTCTTATGCCCAAAGTGTGCTTCGAGTTCTGACCATGACTTGGCTGAGGTGATCCTTCGGACGTCGTCGGTGTCTGCGAAAGGAGCTTTTCCCTCAACAATCTTGTAGACGACGGTATATCCAACGGCCGCAATCCAGGTGAAGAGATCAAGGAATGAGATATCAGGCACTCCAATGGCATTCAGGATGTCCGAGATGACTGGAATATGAATCTTGGTGTCGAGGAGATCCGCTGCCGAATGTAAGATTCGAGACAGGACATTGAGCAGCGCATCTACCACCACCTTGGCACTGTCCAGAACCGTGTCAGCCAGAATAACGATGAGTTGCTTGAGCACATCCTGAATGCTCATGGAACTGAACCGGTTGGCCAGGTCTTTGAGCTGATCGTATGTGGTCGAGAGTACTGCTCCCTCCTGGGATAGCGCACTGAGCAGGTCATTTATGACATCCTGAACGACATCCAACGTGTGTCCCTCTCCTTCCATAGTCAGATCCGCAGCATTGTTGCGAAAGTGGTGAGCCAGCAACCGGGATCCCGACGTCTGTCGCTTAGTTGGATCTGAAGCACTAGACGCGGCAGGCTTCGAGACAATATCACCGAGGGAAGAATAGTCTGTGCCTGCCCATTCAGACACAGAATTCTTCAGGCTGTCAATCTCTGCGTCAAATGCTTGTTTTGCCCTGGGGATTTCGTCTGTCTGGGAGCGAAGGTAGAGTCGAACAATGTTGTGCAGAACATCCTTGGTCCTGCGAATGTCATTCCAGTGGAATAGGAACTGGACATATCGAAAGATCGATCCAATACCTGTTTTTAGGGTATTAAACAGGAATTTCAGCACACCAACGACAGCCTCAGGTGTGTCTAAGATCGCCCGGTACACCTTCCCACCGACCTCCGTGATGAAATGCCAAGTATCAGTAGCAGCGTCCTTGACGAAGTCAATGACATATTCAATGCCAGTCTTCAGCCATTGGAAAAGATCACCAATCGGGAGAGCAATGTCCTCTCCCCACCGCGTGCTGGCAGCGTGGAAGAGAGTCGAGGGTATCACACCGTGGTTGAAATTGTCATGTACAGAGCCTGGCCTGGACAGAGCATCTGTATGGATTCCCTTGAACGTATTCAAGGCTTGCGCTACGCCCTTGGCATCCCCGGATCTGGTAGAGGGATCGACGAGGGGGACAAGCTTCTCGGTCCCGAAAACACCCCCTGCTGTGATGCTCTCATGAATGGTCGCTCCGCGAAGTTTGTCCTCAGAGTCAAGATTAGTTAATTTATCAAAGGACTTTTTCATTGGATTGACAGTTTCATAAGGACTTCCGTTGACAGAAACTCTAAGGATCGCAGCGTTGATATCCTCTGTTGCCTCCACTACCGTCACCGACCCTGTGTAGTCTGTGGTGACTTGGACCGGTATCTGTCCCAGCACATAGTATAGACCGTTGATATATACCGGTGTGCGAGAGACTGTGGTGATATTGACTTTGACTTTGCCGGCCGGAAGGTTGTCTCCGTTGTTCACCTGCAACGTTGTCGTATACGATTTGTACGGAAGCACTTTCTTCTGTTTTGCAGGCGCGTCAATGGTTATGTTCTGGGATTTCCATAACTTGGCACCCGACTCAGTTGCCTGCACAATCTTAAACAGCGAGTTTCCACCGGACGCAAAGACGGTCTTGCCTCCGTCGACGCAGTTTACATAGGCCGAGATATGCTCCACGTCACTCAGGATGGGAACCGGTGCACTCCAAGAACCAGGCAGTGATAGCTGGTCGGTTGGACACGCGAGATAATAGGCCTGATTGTTTGCATTCTTGCCCCAGAGGGTCGTAACCTCCTTATCTATCGTGGCCATAAGAGCGGTTGTCTCTGAAAAGATCTCGTTCTGGAGTAGCAACGTGGCCGAGCTACCGTCCTCCTGCTGATCGGCCGCGAATCGGTAGAGCTTGGAGCCACTCGTGACGTACAGCTCAGTCGTCGCATGCAGTTCGGGTGCGCCTTCGAGTCCATTCCGAGCAGATGCAATGGCGGACGCAGTATCGCCATTTGGAAGCTTGAGCCGGCGGGGCGCCGGGGGACCGTGACCATAAGCGTTGACAATAGGCACATACACCAGCTGGGGGGATCCTCCAGTTTCGCCAGCAGTGTACACTCCATCAACGCGTGCCTTTGGCACTCGTCCCGCGCAGGTCTGATAGTCACAGCTAGAGACGTCGACAGGCATATCGTGTTTGACCCAGTAGTGACCATTGGCCTTGGAGAGATCGATGTGGTACCGTTCCACCTGCTTTGTCGACGAACTCAGTGCGCGATCAATGTCCACAATGAGGTATTCCTTGCTTCCTGTAGATTCGGCGAATAAAATGCCCCGGATTGTGATTGCAGCGCCGGATTTCCCCTTGGGATCAAAGGGAAGTGGAGTCCATTCGGGACTTTGGAGCCAGTCTGTGGTGGAGCTGGAATTTCCTCGCGATACAAACAGATTGTCAGTATTGTCTGCGCGAACAGCCATAGCGAGGCCAATGGTGCTGTCTATCACGCTCTGGGCGACACCAAAAGTGGCTACATGGGCATTTTCTCGGCCCGGGAGGTGAGTATTCACGGCCACTGCCGACAGATTCTTCGACGTCCAGCCAGTGACACTTGGAATCTGCTCCTCGAGGACATGGAAATGGCCGCTACTGTCAATGGAAAAGAGTAGTCCACGGCCATCAGCTGCCTGGAGAGCCTGGAACTTTCCTGTAGGGGATGCCAACTGGGCCTGTAGATAATTATCTAGCAGGTCCGTCGAGGCTGACATGGAGAATGGCTGGTCTGTCAATGTTCCAATGGTCGACCATCCTTGGGCTCTTTCCCCTGTGCGGTCGCGCAGAGGGTTACGAACATCGACATAGGTGATGGGGCAGACCAGATCCTGGTAGTCAGAGAAGATGGGCTCCTTGAATGTGAAGACTTTCGATCCCGGGAAGACAAAGTTGTTCAGGCTGTTTAATGGAGTAGGATCAATATTTGGCGAAATGGTTTTGTCAGCTGTTCTCTTCAAATACTCCATCACATCTTTAATACCGAAGAAAAAATTCAGAATTTTGCTGATGTCTCCGGTGTCCGAGTTATCCGTGACGCTTGGCTGCCCGGCTTGGGTGAATTCTAAAGCACCGGACTGGTTAACAGTCATATCGTAATGGCTCACGTAAGTTTTGTGCACTACATTGGCCTCTGATTGCACCCAGGACATTTGACAAAAGACATTGATTATAACTTGCTGCGTGACCGTGATCCGTATCCCTTGCACTTCCACGCCACAGGTAGAGGAGGATCGGATGCGTATTTTTCCATAGGCAAGTCCCGCCTTTATGGAGGAAGAATCTTCCCCAACACTTTCAATATTGACTATCTGCGTACCCGATTCCGGCACGGTGGCAGTCTGGGGCATGTTGGGCGCAAACAGGATTGCAAACACTTCGAAGTAGGTAGGGCTCGGCATGCGGAGGGAGACGTGAGGTTCCCAACACATATAGACGAACCCGGGTAGTAGTTTATTGATGAAGAGTTGACCAATGGTCCTGCGGTTGACGGAGATGACACCACTCATATCGTTGACATCACCAGGCTGCACCCAGTTCCACCGGAACGGTGAGGGATCGGCTAAGTCATGGCCATCGATCGCACAAAGATGATCGAGTGTGCTGACATCCTGCTGCGACCGCGATGGCATACTGATCGTCTTACCTGCGTCATCCTTTGGTGGATTGATTGCGTGCGCAAAGTTCGTCATCACCAGCGGCGAGGGATCGGTCACGTCCTTGACTGCGGTCACTGCAACGAGGGGCTGGCCTTTTTCGGCGGCCGCAGCAGCCCAGAGATTCGTGAAGGACTTTTGCAAGATTACCTGGGCGCCGGAGCCTGCCTCGATGCCCCCAAAGGTGAGGTTGCTCTGCAGTGAGGCATTATCCAAGTCAAACAACAACTGCTTCAGGCTAAAGGCCGACCCAGACAGATTCTGCAGTTGAGCGAGTAGTGCTTTCCGCTCCTCCGGGTGTTTTTTGAAGTATGTTGTGTTCAGTTCCTCGGCCAGGTCCTCGATTTTCAGGTCCACATCCGCCTGCACAGTCCATGATTCGCCATGCGCCTGACTCCAGACGTCCCATTGCCCGTCTCCGCCAAATCCATTTTGAGGCGTGTTTTGGATGACCGTGAACTGGGCACACAGCATGTTGAACCGGACCCGTTTGACATCATCTCCCAGAATCACCACGGGCAATTTCTTCATGTCGACACCTGGTGGCAGGCCCATTTGGATCTTGATGCCCACCAGAAACCGCTGCGCGGTCAGTGCCGCCACAGCAGGGCTCTTGGGTGACGTCTTGTCACTGATCTCAAAGGGATTGTAGCCACTTTTCTTTTTCAGGTCTTCCAGTGAGATTTGCTCACTTGGCCTCAACGTTTTCGGATCCGCCAGGAAGCAGATATACTGTTCTTGATGATCCTTCTCATCCAGGTATTGGCGCAGGTTTGCGTTGATGCTGGCCTCCGTCGTCGACACCACGAAATCGTAGCCATACTGGGGATCCGAAAGGTGCGACTGGGTGGCAAACATGATGAAGACGTCTTCCTCCTTGATGAAATCTACACAGGTTTGGTAATGGTCTGAATGCATGACAAGCGACTGTTCTTTATATGCCGGCCCACACTCGTTATGACGGCGTTCCCAGACGTGTAATAAGGTTTCATTACACTTCTGCGTGTTGCGTCAGGTTTAGTTTCCGGTTTAGCAAATAATGCTTTTCAACTCTGAATAATGCCATCATGACGCGGACACATAAACGATCCACTCACCAGGTTACACGAGGTGGACCCGTTTGGCCACTCAGCTCCCAGCCTTTGATCAATGGATTACCCATCACTACCTAGTATACACTGCCTTCAGCCAGCCCACACGACGCTTTGGTGTGTGGGTACTGGTCAGCTCGAAGGTGATTGCTGGGGGATTAATATATATTGGAGGGGTTGACGTACAGCTAGAGTCAGTCTAGAATGTTCCGTGGATGGATATGTGATAATGCAATGAAAGGAGGGACTGATTTGCATACCGCATCTAGTTGCCTTTTGCACGGGGGCGCATCAAAAGCCGTATCGTTCTCCTAAAGATCCATCTGCGGCCAGTTACCTACCATCGATACTGCCAGGTATGGCAGCGACAGGTCTGCTTCACCTACCGCAGCACCCGGCCGGAAGCGCATTGGGTCATTACCTTAAGCGAGGTTTGCAAATGTATCAATGCAAATCTTTCCGGAAATACGCTCTACTATACACGGCATCACCTTGAAGGAGACTTGCATACTATCGAGTTCCGCATCAACGACTGTTGCCCACCAATTGATCAACTGAAAGGAGGTATGTGGCCCCAGATTATCTTATGCAGCGACAGGAACTCTGCCGCTGCGTGGAGTGGGTGGAAGTGATGAGCTCGCAAACTTCGTTCCTATTCTGACCTCCCACAGCAGCAAGCAGTCCCTCCAAATTCACCTATTGTAGCGCACTAATTGTTAGGACGCACCCCCCCTGCTATAGCCAGTTGTATTAATATTATAGACCCCTCAAACCATAAGCAGTGTGGCAACAGTAGACACTAACTAGGGCATAATAAAAACCCCTAGACAATTCCTTCTAGCATAGACCATTCAAATATTGAATGATCTCATAGCCGGGTGATCTCATAGATTAGATCACCATTTGGTACTGGTTGAAATCGATAATGATCAATGATGATCTATGGCCATAAGGTTAGAACCATAGATATGATTAACGATCAACCATAGCGGATCAACCCATGGATATGGTTAACAATCAACCATAGATATAATTAATGATCAACTATAGTGTGGTTTTCACCAACACATATATTAAGAACTACTTAGTTCTCTTCCACTAGATATAAAGGTCTCAATTACACTTAATTACTAGATAAGTCCTGACTAGAAACCTTTTATAGTAATTACTAGCTACTAGATCTATCCAGAATTCTGCTATTATAAGGTGCTTCTTGGCTTTCCACCAGTCTCTAGTGAACATACTGGAGAGTGACTTGCTTTAGTTATAATAGAAGTTCTTAAGAAGTATAAATTAAGTCATCAGATTCTTAGGATTACTACTAATAATGTAAGTAATAATAGAATAATGTTTACCAAGCTTACTGCGATGCTAAAGGAGTAACTTAATAAGAGGAGCTAGATATTAACTTTCTCCTTTAATCTAGACTTTCATAAACTACTTAAATCCTAACACCATTTACCTTGCCTTGCCTATGTGATTTAGTTAGTAGTGACTGCTTTTCTCCACATACTCAGCATCCAGGCACGCAATGATGAACTAACTGCAGAGTGGGATGATGAGGACTATAAGATTAAGGAAAAGGGCCTCTTAAGAATAATAGAAAAGGTATATTAGATCTAACTATAGTTAGATTATACTAACTAGTGGATAGATTTAAAAGCTTATGTGCTTCATCCTTGCAAGCCTAAAATAAAGAGAAGCCTTTTAAAGATAGTAAATAATATTAAATACTAGTCCATTACTCTTGCTTCTAGATTGCAAAACATGGTGGAATTCAACATATCTAATATTAAAGCATGCCTATCAGTTATATAAACTAATATAATACTTTATTATATATTATATTAATAAAGATATCTCTTCCTTTACTCTTAGTTAGGAAGAATAGTATTATATTAAGTACCTCCTTTAGCTTCTTTATAAGTTCTATGTCTATACAACTGCACTTTCAGAACATACTAGAGCCATAGTATATTAAGTCTTTAGTATCTATAAAGGTCTCTTTAATTATCTTAAAGATTTAATGAAGCTCCTTAAGGGTAAGAGATAGTACTAGAAGTAATAACTCTATAAAGCCCTACAGACTATATATACTAAGCTAAAGAAATACTATAAGAAGACTTATAGCTTTCATAGTCTTATTTATGCTGTTAGCATAATTCTTAATCTATATTAAAAACTTTCATTCTTTTAAAGTACTTCTTGGGATGATGATAGCCATAACTAGGTTAGAGAATATCACTGTAAGCTTAGGAAGACATTTAACTATTATAAGGAGAAGTATCGATATGCTTAAGCTCTATTATCTACCTAAGTACCACTAATTAGCCTGAATTGTGTCCTTTATAAGTTAAAATGGCGCCAGGTTTCACCATATAAAGAGGCTATCAGTAATGAACTTTCTAATTATATTAATAAATGTGAGTCACCCTTCCATTACTATCCTTCTGTTAATCTAGCCATAGTAAGATTTTAGGTCACCATCTAGATAAGGACTCCCTTAATATTCTTAACTAGTGGAAGCAGAATATATCTTAATTTCTAATACTTATCTTAATTGCTTAAGACTTTCTTGCTATCCCAGTGACTGGTGTTGGACCAGAGAATATATTCAGCACAGCTCAGGATATCTACCACTATTAACATAGCCGCCTAAACCCTAACATAATACAGTCTATGTAATGGAGTGGATGCAGATTAGGTTACATCATTACCTTGCATTACATCTATGTATGATATTACCTACCTATATCTACGCATCATGGCCAAAGTGTTATTAAATAGTTAGTAAATATATATAGGAGCATTTTCTCCTTATCTATCCTAAGGAAGATAAGGATTAGTCTTATATTAAGAGGATTAACTAAATATACTATTCCTTCCCTCCTTATAATCATTACTAATCCTTACCTAGTTAATAGATTATCTATCCTATTAAGTAGATTCTTATAATTTCTAATCCTTCCTCTTTAGCTACCTAAGTATTAGTTATAATGCCTTTAGATACTAAATTAGTTTTATAATATTACTAAATACCTTCTTCTACCTCTATAGAACAGAGCAGCTCCCCTACTAGAGAGAAGCCTAATCTATTATAGAATTAGTCTCCTATATTAGAGGATCTTAACTAAATTAAGTAGGATATCTCTAGACTTAAGAGATTCCAGGAGCTCTAGAAGACTATAATATAACTATAAGAGGAGATTAGGGAAAGGGACTAATTACTTTAATTAGGCTATAATTAATTATATACCTCTCTATAGCTACCCTCTAAATCTAAGATTTAGTTCTGAAACCTCCCTATCTTTACTATTAATTATACTCTTTAGAAGCAAGAAGAATAGCTTTAAGATATAGAATATCTATTCTAAGGGGTACCTACTAAATATATATAAAATAGTTTTAAAATTATTACTGCCATCTCTTATATAGAATCTACCTACAGGTAGTGATAGTACTAATATACTAAAGAACTAAGGAAAGGTACTAAGAATTAAAAGATTCTTAGCCTATTTTTAAAGAATAGATCCTTACCCTAATTTAAAATATCACCACTATTAAGTCTAATATAATGACCTAGTTAGAAAAAGCTTATTAGCACCCTAATAAGGAGTCTAGGGAGTTCTATATCTATCTAGATATCTTAGAATAATACTTTTCTTAATAGATAGAGAAGGAATAAGCCCTAGTCTTCTTCTCTAAACTAGATATAGAGCTATACTTATATATCTAGTAATATCTTCTTAAACTATCTAATAACTAGGATTAAATAGTAACTATAGCTACTTATTATTACTCCCTTTACTCTATACAATAACCTAAGAGAAAGAGGGAAGAATTAGATTAACCCTAAAAAAGAAACTAATCTAAATATCTTTAAAGAAGTTTTAGTTCTAATATAAGAGATTAATAGAGCTATTCTAGTATATATAGATAACCCCTCCACTGCTATTTATATAGAAGTAAGTAATACCTAGCTAATTAATACCCTATAAAGAACACCTAGATTTAGTTAGTACTAAGAAAAGATAAGTAATTAAAGTAAATTCTATACCTCTAACTAGTAACCCTAAAGTAGGAATAACTAGCTATTTTTATATTCTAATATACCTGGGTAATAATCTTAAAATATATACTAATCTTAATAGCTATACTAAAGTTAATATTATCAGTATTACCTTTATTAAATCTTAAAAGCTATAATAAGCTAAACTTACTACTCCCCTTATTTAGATAATTAATAATTTTACTACTCCTATCTATAGTATCTAGAAGGTCCTAATCACTGCTATTAATTCTAGAGGTACTATATATACCTTTAAATACCCTTATATTATAATCTAGAAAGATCTAAGACCTAAAGAGAGTTTTATTCTCCTCTTTATAACTATTCTTTAGGACCTCTATATTCATCTTTTATTATAGAATTAATAGTAATAGTTTAAGATACCTACCTTCTCATTAATATCTCCTTAAAAGTTTACTAAGGAGAGCTAAAACTATACTATAATATTTATAGTAGTAAAGCTATTAGAAGAGATCTAGCTTCCTAGAGAAAAGAATATATCTAGTATTACTCTAGATAATATCTCTTTAGAACTTACTAAATTTAGTAATATTTTCTCTACTAAGAACTCTAAAACCTTACCTCTATACTCTCTATAGAATTAGTCTATTAATCTTAGCTCTTATAAAATACCACCCTTTAGACTTATATATTCTTTATCTTAAGTAGAGCTCTATAAACTATAAGAATATATTAATAAAAACCTCTTCTATAAATAGATCTATTC